CAGAGAGGCCGGCAGCAGAGGGAGGGGGGGTACATCTTCGACAGGACACACCGACCCGGTCTGGGTCGTGGGTAGTGGGAGCCGAGGGGACTGCCCTGTGTCTGTGGGGTGGCTCAGCTGAGCCTCGAAGCCACCTGACCCCCCGTCCCTTCCCCGCCAGGCATCGCATGTGGAAAATCTGTGATGAGCTCTGTGAGCCTGATGGGGGGCCGGAGCGGGGTGCCCCTCTACGACCGGAACCACGTCACAGGGGCCTCGTCCAGCAGCTCATCCAGCACGAAGGCCACGCTCTACCCGCCGGTGAGTGGCGGGGCTGGAGAGGAGTGGGGCGGGATGTGGCTGTGGGCCCCTCCCACCGTCAGTGCCAGCCAGAAGAGGCTTCTCGGGTTCTTAGGGGCTGTCCCCACTGTCGCCTCTGAGGCATGCTCGCCTGCTTCCCTCTCTACAAACATTCTGCTTTCTACTTTAATGACATTGTTGTCTGTGGATACTCTGAAAACCACACAAAAATATAAAGAGCTGAAATCTCACGTGAATCCACCTCCTAGAATGGCTGTGGGGTCATGTCAGCATCCAGGTGGCCGCCTGTTGCACACGGCCAGCCCAGTGATGGCCTCCTGCACCAAGCCCGTCTGCCCTCTGTGAGCTTCCCCTCGGCGTGCCCGCCACAAACCCCCTGTCCTCCCAGCAAGGAAAACAGCTGGATGGTTTTGTGCAGGACAGACACACAGGGTGATTTTCGTGGCTAAAATCCTTCCCGGAGCTTTCAGCAGGCGGAGGGGCTGGCTCTCCCCGAGCCACAGCCTCCAAGTGAAGTGCGCCTGAAGAGGATAAACTGCTGGCGCCTTCCAGCATCCGTGGGGCCGGCTGGGGAGAACGCCCATTTCTGGGAGCACAGCCCCAGGGTGCCAAGGCGAGCTTGGCACCTGGATGTGAACCCCTGTGTGTTGACACGCTTTGAATGCTTTTCATTTCTTCCACAATCAAGTTCGCGCAGCTGTTCGCCCCTAAGGTAAAGCCAGCCCCTCCGCTTCCTCTGGGGCCTCGCCAGGGCGCCCCACCTCGCCAGGGCGCCCTTCTGAGTGTTCCTCACGTATGGGGTCTTGTCTTCTTTGTTTCTTTCTTGTTTGTTTTTTTTTTGGGACAGGGTCTCGCTCTGTCACTCAGGCTGGAGTGCAGTGGCGCCGTCGTGGCTCACTCCAGTCTCGATCTAGGCTCAAGTGATCCTCCCACCTCAGCCCCCAGGTAGCTAGGACTGCGCGCATGCATCCCCATGCCCAGCTAATGTTGACATTTTTTGCAGAGACAAAGTTTCACTCTGTCGCCCAGGCTGGTCTCAAATTCCTGGCCTCCAGCGATCCTCGCGCCTTAGCCTCCCAAGGTGTTGGGATTCCAGGCGTGAGCCACAGCACCTGGCCTGGGGTGTTGTCTTTTTTGTTTATTTCATTTTTACTTCTTTTGTGGGGTGTTGTCTTTTTATTGCACCTGACATGGTGGGCCCTGGGAAGGAAGGAGCAGAAGAGGGTTATCCTTGGTTTCCTGGACAGGAACTGAGTCTTCTGGAGGCTCCAGGGCCCGGCTGTGTTTGGGGACAAAGGGAGCTGGGAGCCAGAAGCCGAGAGTTTAAACTACTTCTCTGCTCCTGCTGCTGCACCACCACCTAACCAGCCAGGAGCGCCAGAAACCCCGAGCACAGCCCCATGCACACAGCAGGAGGCTCAGGAAATGGAATTCTCCTTTCCTATTCACCCTTGGGAGCTGGGAGGAGCTTATCAGGCAATAAGAGATGGCACTGACCAGCCAGCTATTTTTTTTAAATCACTTGATTGTTTAACCATACAACTCACCCACTTCAAAAAGTGTACGGTTCCGTGGGTTTTAGGGTATTCACAGATGTGTCCAACCCTCACCACGGTTAATTTTAGAACATTTTCCTACCCGTAGAAGAAGCTCTGCATGAAGCTAGCTATTTTCAAATTAGCAAACTTAGGCTGGGTGTGGTGGCTTATGCCTGGAATCCCAGCACTTTGGGAGGCTGAAGTGGGCAGATCACGAGGTCAAGAGATCGTGTCCTGGCCAACATGGTGAAACCCCATCTCTGCTGAAAACACAAGAATTAGCCAGGCGTGGTGGCGGGTGCCTGTAGTCCCAGCTACTCGGGAGACTGAGGCAGGAGAATTGCTTGAACCCAGGAGGTGGAGGTTACAATGGGCCTAGATAGTGCCACTGCACTCCAGCCTGGAGACAGAGTGAGACTTATATGTCTCAAAAAAAAAGAAAAAAAATTAGCAAAGTTACTTTGCATCTGTTAAATATATGTTCATGGCACAAAATTCAAATGGTACAGAAGAGCCTGCAGTCCAGAGGGACCCCCGCCCCCATGACACCAAGCAGGATGCCCCGGGAGGCATGACTTCTGTGGTGTGTTTCTGTATGTCCCCCCAGGAGTAATCTGTGCATATGCAAGCACACAAGAGCGTGGACTTTGTTTTCCCAGCAAAAGATAATTGTAGATTTACGTGCAGCTATGAGAAACAGCGCAGACCCATTTATCCTCCGCCTCGTTTACCACTGTGCTACCATCTTGCATGACTTCCGTGCCTGTCATAAGCAAGACACTGATACAATCTTCTGACCTTATTCAGATGGACATAGGTGTTTTTTGTTTGTTTCTGAGTCATGGTCCCCCTCTCTCACCCAGTGGGAGCACAGTGGCGCAATCATAGCTCACTGCACCCTCAAACTCCTGGGCTGGAGCGATTCTTCTGCCTCAGCCCCGCAGGTAGTTGGGACTGCAGGCGTGCCCCACCATGCCGGGCTACTCTTTAAATTTTTTTTGTAGAGACGAGGTCTCACTATATTGCCTAGGCTGGTCTTGAACTCTTAAGCTAAAGTGATCCTCCTGTCTCAGCCTCCCAGAGTGTTAGGATTACAGGCGTGAGCCACTGTGCCTGGCTGACATACGTGTTTTCGTAAGCCCAAGAGACAGCATCTGAATAGTCAGCGCTGAGCTGACTTTGTTGGCTTTTGCTACTAACAATATATAAAGGCTAAGGCTGGTGTTATGCTGGATGCGGTGGCTCATGCCTGTAATCCCAGCACTTTGGGAGGCTCCGGGTGGGCGGATCATGAGGTCAGGAGTTGGAGACTATCCTGGCCAACATGGTAAAACCTTTCTCTACTTAAAAAAAAAAAAAAAAAAAAGGAAAAGTTAGCTGGGCATGGTGGCGCATTTCTGTAGTCCCAGCTACTTGGGAGGCTAAGACAGGAGAATCGCTTGAACCTGGGAGGTGGAGGTTGCAGTGAGCCGGATTGCGCCACTGCACTCCAGCTTGGCAACAGAGAAAGACTCGTCTCAAAAAAAAAGGCTGGTGTTCTGAGTGTTTCGGGGGCTCCTGGCTGCCGTATGCACCCCGCCTAGAACTCTGCCTTAACTCATCTCCTGGTGGTGGTGCTGTTGTTTTCCTCATTTTGCAGCAAGGAGACTGAAGAACTAAGCGTTATCCACTGGCCTGAGTCGTCGGGTCGGTAGGCAGTGGGGCCAGGCTGGCCAGTGCACGACCGCCCTTTCCTCTACTTCCCCTGCACCCTGAAGTTTGTTCTGCTTCGAGGACAGAGCTGTCACATTCTTGGTGGCCGAACAGCGCTCCTTGTGAGGCGTGGCTGGGCTGCCTCTGGAGGCCATCAGGGTCCCCTCTCCTGTTGTGGTGGAGCCTTGGCCGTTTTAACCGCTCTTGCCAAGTGGCCCTCCAAAGGGGACAGTCCATCTTTTCTCAGCAGAGGGCCACATTGGCGCATGCCTGTAATCCCAGCACTTTGGTAGGTCAAGGCGGGTAGATCACGAAATCAGGAGTTCGAGACCAGCCTGGCCAACATGATGAAACCCTGTCTCTACTAAAAACACAAAAATTAGCTGGGCATGGTGGCGTACGCCTGTAATCCCACAGGTGGTAGTGAGCTGAGATCATGCCATTGCACTCCAGCCTGGGCGACAGAGAGAGACTATCTCAGAAAAAACCAAACAACGCGGGAATAGCAGATGGGCTGAGGTGGAGCCTCCCCACCCCCGATCTGGGCCGAGATCCGGTCCTCTTTGAAGAGGGCACGGCCGGGGTCACTGGACGTCTGAGATGCTGCCATGGCGCTGTTCTGGTGGATCTTGCCAGAAGTCTGCCCAGTGCAGCTTTGGACAGAAGCTCACATTTTGCCTTGGGATGTAGGAGAGAAACCAGGTCTGGTCAAGTTCATGGGAAGAGGCGGGAACAGACCCCATAGACTGGGGCATGGGCCACCGCAGGAAGCCCTTTCTGCTGCCTCCTTGTCTGGCTTTTTCTTTGAAACACCCCCCGAAACACCCCCAGTCTTGCGCCCTCCTGATGTTGGGGTTAAATCCTGAGGAATCCCTAGGCTGGCTCTCTGGGCCAAGGAGGACCCTCGCCAGAAAGAACAGGGCCCAGTGCTGCCTCCTAAAGGACAGGGGAAGGGCCTGGGCACTCCCCATAGGCTGCCTGCCAGCCATCAGGATAGCCCCAGGAAGCAGGCCTTCGAAAGCCGATTCCATCACTGTATTTTATTATTTTATTTTTATTCATTTGTTTTTGAGACAGAGTCCTGATCTGTCGCCCATGCTGGAGTGCAGTGGTGGAATCTCAACTCACTGCAGCCTCCGCCTCCTAGGTTCAAGGGATTATCCCACCTCACCCTCCCATGTAGCTGGGATTACAGGTGCCTGCCACCACGCCCGGCTAATTTTTGTATTTTTAGTAGAGACGGGATTTCTCCATGTTGGCCAGGCTGGTCTGAAACTCCTGACCTCAAGTGATCCACCCACCTCGGCCTCCCAAAGTGCTGGGTCGAGCCCGTTTTAAAAAGATGAAGAAACTGAGGCTGAGACAGGTGAAGTGCCTCCCCAGGGATCCTGTGGCAGCCGGAAGGTGGTAAAATAGGATTTCACCCAGGTTTGTCTGGTGTGAAAGGCTGTGCTCTCTGTCTTAAAAGGCTGTGCTCTCGTACCACACTGGGGGCCGGGGAGAACGGAGTCCCTCGGGGCATAACTGATGGTTCTGTTCCCATACTCGTAGGAGCTCGGATCGGGCCGTAGGCTTTCCAGATGGCCTCGGGAGACCCACCTAAGCCCCGTGCCCTTTGGGAAGTTGCATGTTGGGTTGGGGTGCCGTCAGCGGCACTTGCTGGAAGGTGCAGACCTGTGTGGGTGTCTGGGCCCAGGTCCCCTGCTCCCTTCTTCCCTTTGTAGGGCTGGTTGTGTGCTGCCCAGCCCCGGAGGACGAGTTCGCATGGTGGATTTGTCTACTATCCCGGTTTGGGGCTAGTGTCAGTGCAGGCCCTTGTGAAAGGCGTGCCTGTGTCTGGAGTGGGGCTTTGGCCCCTCCCTCAGCGTGGCGACCTCTGTGCATGGGTCAGGGCTTCAGCAGGGACGTAGAGCCCCCTCGTGTTCGGAACAAGGGCGTGACTGCAGGAGCGGGAGTGTGCACGATGGAGGGAGGAGAGGCGGGAGGAAGGGTCAGAAGGACAGTTCCTGGGAAGGTCCCTGAGGAGCCTGGTGAGGTGCTCACTGGTATGAGGGACACTTAGGGCCTGTGGGGACGTCTCGCACTGCTGGGGGGCTGGCTGAAGTCCCATCTCTGCCTTCGCAGCTCAGCTTCTGGTCACAAGGCAGGTACTCAGGAGCGGTGCAGGCATCTGGGGCCAAAAGTTCCTGGGTTTCCTTTGCCTCTCATCAAGATGACCTTCGGGGCAGGTGGCTGCTGCTGCTGCCCCTCCTGTCCCCAAGATTCGCCAACTGGCCAGAGAAAGGGGTCCCAGGAAGCAGGGTGCCAGACGTCCTCCCTGCAAGAAAAGCCCGAGGGGTGTAGGAAGGAGGGAAGGAGGGAGAGAGGCAGGGAGGAAGGAAGGAGGGAAGGAGAGAGGAAGAATGAAGGAAGGAGGGAGGGAGGGAAGGAAGAAAAGGAGGGAGGGAGGGAAGGAAGCAAGAAAGGAAGGAGGGGGGGAAGGGGAGGAGGGAAGGAGGGGAAGAGGGAAGGAGAGAGGGAGGGGAGGAGAGGAGGAAGGAGGAGGGAGAGCCCGGGGTCACCCTGGCTTGGCTGTCCTCAGATCCTGAACCCACCGCCCTCCCCGGCCACGGACCCATCGCTGTACAACATGGACATGTTCTATTCTTCAAACATTCCGGCCACCGCGAGACCGTACAGGTAGGATGTCCACCCACAGCTTTCCATGGCCCTTGGTTCCCGCCAGCCTGTGGTGGAGGTGCCGTGTCCCCATGCCACTGGTGACAGGTTCATGGGCAGGTGCCAGGCCCAGCCCCGCCTCCCTCTGCTCTGCCAGCCACAGTAGGCTGCCTCCCCAGCCGACCCAGCAGGGCCTGCACGTTGGGTTCAGAAACCCACAGAACCCCACATTCCGAGCTGCTCTTCAGGATGCACCTGTGGGGAGCTGGGACATGCCTATGGCTCCGTGGGCCCTGAACGATGCCACAGGGGCATTCCCACCCCACCCGACGTCCCACTGCAGGGAGGCCGAGGCAACCCCATGGGCCGAGGGCTTGGGCTCCAGGGTCTGACTGTGTGTTTGAGTCCAGCTGTGGGACTCTGGCCATCGAGATGCCCCCTCGGTGGCTTGGTCTTCTTAGGATGGGACAAGTCTGTGAAGGCTGCTGCAGCACCCACCGTGGTCCCCCAGTCATGTGACATCACCAGGACAGTCCAGGCTGCTCACTTGCCACAGTGGCCTGTTTGATTCCGGGAAACCCATGGGGCTGCTCAGCCCGACACCAGTCCCTGAGCTGCCCATGCTGGGGTCACAGGCCCCACCTCCCTGGGTGGGGAGGGGCACCTGAACGTGTGAAGAAGTGGGACTCAGGTGCACTGGTCTCTGCAGGAGCTGAATGAGAGCCTGGGAGGGGCAGGGTGAGCCTCCTGACCTTTAACCCACTGGTGCCAGCCAACATGGCCCACCCGCCAGCTGCACTGGGCCCCACCCCCAGCGGTGATGGGGTGGGAAGAGGTGGGCCTGGGCCAGGCCACCTCTGGACCACCCATCCTTATGGCAGCAGGGCCTCCTGAGTGTGGTGCCGCCTGCCACCTAGTGGCCATTTCTATGAACTCCCAGGCCTGGCTGCAGCCCCCATTTCCATCCCCCTCTGGGTCCGGCCACCTCCCTGCTCAAGGAGCTGCAGTGGCTCCCTGATGCCACAGTAGTATGTCAGACTGTCACAGTCTGTCCCAGCAGCCTCACAGAACACTGTCTCCAGAATTGTCAACATCCACACCGGGCAGGCCAGTCTAGCCAGGCCCCGGCCCAGGCCCCTTTGCTCATGCTGTCCTGCTCCACGGCGGAGACATCTTCCCTCCACGTCTGACCTTGCAGCAGCTGGGCCCCAAGAGGAGTATCCTGCTGCACGTTTCTCAACACCCGGTGTTAACCTTCCCACCCGTCGCAAGCCCCACTGTGACAGGACCGGGGCTCCCAAACACAGCACGGTTCTCATCCTGGACTCACATAGCTGCATGCAGGGTCTCTGGGCCCCAGCTGGGTGCAGGCAGCCTCTAGGACAGGAGACATCTCCCGAGTCAGGCTGCTTGAACTCAGGAAGGGAGCATTCCAGGCCCCTTGGCTGCCATGTTAGTCTGTTCTCACGCTGCAAATAAAGACATACCTGAGACTGGGTAATTATAAAGGAAAGGGGTTTAATGGACTCAGTTCCACATGGCTCAGGAGGCCTCACGATCATGGTAGGAGGCAAGGAGGAGCAAGTCACGTCTTACACGGCCGCCAGGAAGAGAGAGAATGAGAACCAAGCTAAAGAGGCTTCTCCTTATGAAACCATCAGATCTCATGAGACTTATTCATTCCCACGAGAGCAGTATGGGAGAAACCGCCCCCGGGATTCAAGTAGCTTGCACTGGGTCCCTCCCACAACACATGGGAATTATGGGAGTACAGTTCAAGATGAAATCTGGGTGGGGACACAGCCAGACCACCCCAGTTGCCAGCCTTTACAGTAGCAATGTCACAGGGAACAGTTTTCCAGTCCCCTATTCTGTCTGGCACTGTTTCTAGCACTTTCCAGGCAGAATCTCACGTATCTGTCACAAGCCTCTTTTGAATGTTTACTATTTTATCACCTGCTTTTTTTTTTTCTTTTTGAGATGGAGTCTTGCTCTGTTGCCCAGGCTAGAGTGCAATGGCATGATCTGGGCTCGCTGCAATCCCTGCCTCCTGGTTGAAGCGATTCTCCTGCCTCAGCTTCCCGAATAGCTGGGATTACAGGCACGCACCACCGTACCCGGCTTATTTTTGTATTTTTAGTAGAGACGGGGTTTCACCTTGTTGGTCAGGCTGGTCTCAAACTCCTGACCTCGTGATCCTCATGCCTTGGCCTCCCAAAGTGCTGGGATTATGGGCATGAGCCACCATGCCTGGCTCATCCCCTGCTTTTCTCAGTGAGAAGCTAAAGCTCAGAGAGGCGAAGTAGGCTCCGGGCCAAGGTCAGCTAGCAGGCTCTGGAGGCCTTGTTCTCCTCAGAAGCAGCCTTGCCAGGGCCCAGGCTTGGCAGGCTACAGGGCAGGTACTGGCATGCCCATGGTAGAGGTGGGGCTGTTGAGGCCCTGAGAGGGGGTAAGTGGTGAGCCCAGGCCACACAGCCGGGTGGGTCCAGAGTCAGGCCTGCCTCTTCTGGAGTGGGCAGTGGACAGGCCTTTCCCGTTCCCAGCCCCGGGGCCCCTGTGCCCACTCCTCTGCGTGTGTCCCTTCCAGGCCTTACATCATTCGAGGAATGGCGCCCCCGACGACGCCCTGCAGCACCGACGTGTGTGACAGCGACTACAGTGCCAGCCGCTGGAAGGCCAGCAAGTACTACCTGGATTTGAACTCGGACTCAGACCCCTACCCGCCCCCACCCACGCCCCACAGCCAGTACCTGTCAGCGGAGGACAGCTGCCCGCCCTCGCCCGCCACCGAGAGGAGCTACTTCCACCTCTTCCCGCCCCCTCCGTCCCCCTGCACGGACTCATCCTGACCTCAGCCGGGCCACCCCGGCTTCTCTGTGCCCCTGTAAATAGTTTTAAATATGAACAAAGAAAAAAATATATTTTATGATTTTAAAAAATAAATATAATTGGGATTTTAAAAACATGAGAAATGTGAACAGTGATGCGGGTGGGCAGGGCTGGGAGAACTTTGTACAGTGGAGAAATATTTATAAACTTAATTTTTTAAAACAGAACTGCCATTCTTTCGTGCCCGTGTGCATTTGAGTTGCGTGTCCCCGTGGAGCGAATGCTGACCCCTGGAACACCATGAGCGTCCTCCCAAGGTGCACGGCATCCTTCCATCTGGTTCCAGCAGTGAAGGGCTGGGACCTCAGGCAGAGGCTGACGTGTCCCTGGAATGCATCTCTGACCTGCAGGCCGGGCCGGCTTTATGTGTATGTGACCTGTGCCATCAGAAAGGGCCCTGGTTTTGATCGTGCTGTGCTGTTTGTCTTACTCAGATTCTTAGTAATTTTTTTTTTTTTTTGAGATGTCTCTCTCTGTCACCCAGGCTGGGGTGCAGTGGCGCGATCTCTGCTCACTGCAGAGATTGCTGCTCCCTGGGTTCAAGGGTTCTCCTGCCTCAGCTTCCCAAGTAGCTGGGACTACAGGCGTGTGACACCACGCCTGGCTACATTTTTGTGTTTTTAGTAGAGATGGGGTTTCACCATGTTAGCCAGAATGGTCTTGATCTCCTGACCTCGTGATCCGCCCACCTTGGCCTCCCAAAGTGCTGGGACTACACGCGTAAACCACCGTGCCTGGCCAGATTCTTAGTAGTTTTTAAGAAGGGGACCTTGCCTTCATTTTTCACTGTGCCCTCCCTGCAAAATATATGCCTGGGCTCTGGGCAATTCCTGAGCCTGTGTTGGCTTCCATCTGACCTCTTGTGTGTTAGCCCAGGGCTGCTGCTGCTCCTGAGGGCGAGAGGCCCCATGACTGCATGCTGACCCGCTGGATGGGGCTGCTGAGCCCATTCTGCCACGCTGCACTTGCCCTAGGCAGGGAGGGAGTCCCCTGGTCCTCACAGGGACAGTCAGCAAGCCATGCCTGATGCCTGCTGTGGGCCCACCCCCGCAGTGCTGGTGAAGACAGACATAGCCTGGTCACTACCCCTGCAGGGTCCCCAGTCTGTGGAAGAAGACAGTAATCTAGGCATTTTCGGTGAGGAAGCTGAGCTGTCCCCCTGGTGTCCTGAAAGCCAGGCAGGAACAACTGTCTTCAGAGGGAAGGGAGAAAATGCCCATCACAGCAGTGGAGAAAGGCCTGCCTCCACTCAGCATGTTGGAGGGAGGTCAGAGAACAGCCAAGCTTGTTGCTGGGTGACAGTGCATTTAATAATCAAAATACAGACTGGGCTCGGTGGCTCACGCCTGTAATCCTAACTCTTCGGGAGGCCAAGGCAGGCAGATCACTTGAGGTCAGGAGTTTGAGACCAGCCTGGCCAACATGGTGCGACCCCGTCTCTACCACGTTATAAAAACTAGCCTGGTGTGGTGGCAAGTGCCTGTGGTCCCAGCCACTTGGGAGGCTGAGGTGGGAGGATCACCTGAGCCCAGGAAGTCGAGGCTGCGGTGAGGCATGACTGCACCCCTGCACTCCAGCTGGGTAACAGGAGTGAGACTGTCTCAAAAACAAAAACAAAAAAAACAGACCAGAGCAGAAATAAATGAAATTGAAATGAAGGAAACAATACAAAAATCAATCACATAAAAAGTTGTTTTTTTGAAAACAAACAAAATCAAACCTTTATCCAGACTACAAAAAAAAGACCCAAATAAATAAAATCAGAGATGAAAAAGGAGGCATGACCACTGATACCACAGAAATTCAAAGGATCGTTAGAGGCAACTCTGCACAACTATATGCTAATAAACTGGGAAACTCAGAAGAAATGGGTAAATTCCTAGACACATACAACCTATCAAGATTGAACCATGGGCTGGGCACAGTGGCTCACCCCTATAATCCCAGCATTTTGGGAGGCTGAGGCGGGCAGATCACCTGAGGTCAGGCATTCGAGACAAGCCTGGCCAGCATGGTGAAAACTCGTCTCTACTAAAAAATATATAAAAACTGGCCAGGTGTGGTGGCTCACGTCTGTAATCCCAGCACATTGGGAGGCTGAGGTGGGCGGATCACCTGAGGTCAGGAGTTCAAGACCATCCTGCCCAACATGGCCAAGCCCCGTATCTACTAAAAATACAAAAAAATTAGCTGGGTGTGATGGCGTGCGCCTGTAATCCCAGCTACTCGGGAGGCTGAGGCAGGAGAATCACTTGAACCCGGGAGATGGAATTGCACTGAGCCGAGATCGAACCACGCACTCCAGCCTGGGTGAAAAGAGTGAAACTTCATCTAAAAAAAATTAAAATAACAAAAACCTTTGCAAGCCAATAACAAGTAACGTGATGAAAGCTGTAATAATATGTTTCCCAGCAAAGAAAGCCCAAGAACCAATGGCTTCACTGCTGAATTTTACCAAACATTTAAAGAGGAACTAATATCAATCATACTCAAACTATTCTGAAAAACAGAGGAGGGAATACTTCCAAACACATTCTACATGGCCAGTATTATCCTGATACCCAAGCCAGACAAAGACACATTACAACAATTACAGGCCAATGTCTCTTAGGAACACCGATGCAAAAATTCTCAATGAAACACTAGCAAACTGAATTAACACATTAAAAAGATTATTCATCATGACCAAGTGGGATTTATTCCAGGGATACGAGGATGGTTCAACATCCACGAATCAATTGATAGGATCCATCATATCAACAGAAGGAAGAACAAAAACCATATGATAATTTCAATTGAAGATAAAAAACATTTGATAAAATTCAGCATCACTTCGTGATAAAAGCCCTCCAAAACTGGGTCTAGAAGGAACATACCTCAACACAATAAAAGCCATATATGGCAGACCTACAGCTAATATCATAGTGGATGGGGGAAAAAACAAAAGCCTTTCCTCTAAGTTATGGAACACGACAAGGATGCCTGTTCACCACTGTTGTTCAACATAGAATTGGAAGTCTCAGCTAGAGCAATCAGACCAGAGGAAGAAATAGAGGGCATCCAAGTCATAAAAGAAGGGCCGGGCGAGGTGGCTCACGCCTGCAATTCCAGCACTTTGGGAGGCCAAGGCAGGCGGATCACCTGAGGTGAGGAGTTCAAGAGAAGCCTGACCAACATGGTGAAACCCCGTCGCTACTAAAATACAAAAATTAGCCGAGTGCGGTGGCACACATCTGTAATCTCAGCTACTCAGGAGGTTGAGGCAGGCGAATAGCTTGCACCCGGGAGGCAGAATTGCAGTGAGCTGAGACTACACATTGTACTCCACCCTGGGCCACAGAGGGAGACTCTATCTCAAAACAACAACAACAAAAAAAGAGATTCTGTCATTTGTAGCAAAGCAAGAACATGAATAGAACTGCAGGTTATTATGTTACGTGAAGCCAGGCACAGAAAGACAGGCTTCACATGTTCTCATCTATTTGTGGGAGCTAATTTTTTTTCTTTTGAAATGGAGTCTCACTCTGTCACCCAGGCTGGAGTGCAATGGTGTGATCCTGGCTCACTGCAACCTCTGCCTCCTGGGTTCAAGCCATTCTCCTGTCTCAGCCTCCTGAGTAGTTGGGATTACAGGCACCCACCACTGTGCCCAGCTAATTTTTGCATTTTTAGTAGAGATGGGATTTTGCCATGTTGGCCAGGCTGGTTTCAAACTCCTGACCTCAGTTGATCCGCCTGCTGAGGCTTCCCAAAGTGCTGGGTTTACAGGCCTGAGCCACTGTGCCCGCCTCTTTTTTTTTTTTTTTACACGGAGTCTCTCTGTCACTCAGGCTGGAATGCGATGGTGCGATCTCAGCTCACTGCAGCCTCGCCTTCCAGGTTCAAACAATTCTCCTGCCTCAGCCTCCCAAGTAGCTGGGACTAAGGTGTGGGCCACCATGGTCAGCTAATTTCTTGTATTTTTTGTAGAGATGGGTTTTCACCATGCTGACCAGGCTGGTCTCGAACTCCTGATCTCATGATCTGCACCCCTTGGCCTCCCAAAGTGCTGGGATTACAGGTATGAGCCACTGTACCTGGCCTCTTTTTTTTTGGACAGATGTGGTCGGTTCAGGAGACCCAGCCTCCTTTGGCTGTTGTTACCTCTGTTTGCATTGCCAGCCCCCTTGGTCAAGGATTCAATTTTGGGGTCCCGCTGGGAGGCCAGGAGACTCACTCCAGGCACTTCTTCCAGGTCTTTGTATTTTTTTTTTCCAAGAAGGAGTCTTGCTTGGTTGCCCAGGCTAGAGGGCAGTGGTGAGATCTTTGCTCACTGCAACCTCCACCTCCCAGGTTCAAGCGATTCTCCTGCCTCGTCCCCTGAGTAGCTGGGATTACAGACGCATACAGCCACACCCAGCTAACTTTTGTATTTTTCGTAGAGATGCGGTTTCACCATGTTGGCTAGGCTGGTCTTGATTTCCTGACCTCGTGACCCACCCGCCTTGGCCTCCCAAAGTGCTGGGATTACAGGCATGAGCCACCGCGCCTAGCCGGGGATCTAAAAATTAAAATTAATTGAACTCATGGAGATAGATGGTTAACAGAGGCTGGGAGGGTAGTGGGTTTGGGGGCTGAGGTGGAGTGGGGATGGTTAATGGTATAGTTGAATAGAATGAAGATCTGTATTTGGTGGCACAATGGGGTGACTGCAGTCAACAATAATTTATTGTACAGTTAAGAAGAGATAAAGAGTATCATTAGATTTTTTGTAACAGAAAGAAAGGCTAAATGCTTGAGGTGATGGTTACATCATTTCCCGTTGGGATTATTACACATTATGTGCCTGTATCAAAACATCTCGGCGTCTTGGTGAGATGTCTACAAAAGACACTGGCTCTGGCAGGGCGCAGTGGCTCACGCCTGTGATCCTAGGACTTTGGGAGGCTGAGGCAGGCGGGTCACGAGGTCAGGAGATGAGACCATCCTGTTCAGCCTGGTGAAACCCCGTCTCTACTAAAAATACAAAAATTAGCTGGGTGTGGTGGCACATGCCTGTAATCCCAGCTACTCAGGAGGCTGAGGCAGGAGAATCGCTTGAACCCTGGAGGCAGAGGTTGCAGTGAGCCGAGATTGTGCCACTGCACTCCAGCCTGGGTGACAGAGCAAGACGTGTCTCAAAAAAACAAAACAAAACAAAAGACAGGGAAGAAGTGCCTGGGGTGAGTCTCCTGGCTGCCCACTGGAACCCTAAAATTGAACTCTTGACCAAGGGGGCTGGAAATGCAGACACAGGTGACAGCAGCCAAGGGAGGCTGGGTTGAACTGGCCTTTCCTGCCCAGGCAGTCAGCTAGGCAGAGAGGAGCTCACTGGCCAGCTGCCTACTCTCTGCCAAGTACATCCTTCAGTAAGTGCCTGCAGCGGGCACAGTGCCTGCCCTTGTGCCACTTACTTACCCGCTGGGAGACCCAGAGATCAGTCAGGTGTGGCCCCTCCCCTGCAGCTGCTCCAAATCCGGGGATACAGGGCAGTTCCCAAAGCACAGGGAAGGCATTGTTCTAAGACAGCCCAGAGCCCGGAGGGGTGTTGTACTCATAGGGGAAGGCAGAAGGGGCTTCTTGGAGGAGGGAGTGTCAGAGGTGTGTCTTAAAGGAGGGGGTGAAGTTGACCTGGCTTATTTAAACTTCACGACAGTCCAGCCAGGTAGGTGGTGTCCCCAGCATGCAGCTGAGGGAACTGAGGCTTGGGTACAAAGAAGCAAAGGCAACCTTGTTTTTTTTTGACATCCACTTAATCATTTCTTTATCCAGTAAGTGTTACTAACCGGCCCCAGGTGCTATTCAATGCAGCCAAAAAGGCATGTACCTTCTCTCCAGACCCTCTCAGCTCTGCAGTGACAGCTCCTGCACCCTTCACTGAGCCCTGGGGGGTCTCTGGTATTGGTGGGCTCCCTCCACACCAACCTGAGCAGAGAGGGGCCCCTTGACAGCTCAGCCCCCCTCCAAGCTCATTCCAGAATGGGTGTTCCTGCCTGCCCGGGAGCACCGCGGCAGCATCCTCTCAGCAGTCCAACAAAGTCCATGTGCCAGTCTGGCTGTTGCTATTGCCGGGAGGCCACTATGGGAGGTCTTGTTCCCGAGAAATGTGGGTGGTCAGGATGGTGGCTGGGGCATGGAGTCCACTCAGCCTGTGAGGTTCTTTCTCCTGGGCCACTTGGCTGGCAGCATCTGGACCCCCTGTTTGGGCCACACCCTCAGATGCCACCGAGGAATCCCCTCTCTGGCTCCTTTTCTGTGGTCCTCTCCCGGAGTCCCACACCTTGATCTCTGTCTCCATCCGAATGTCCTCTTCCGTCTTTCCCCAGAGGCTTGATGGCAGCCCCAGTGAGCAGTCCAGCGGGCTCCCAAGCATCCTTTATAGGAAGGGAAATATCCACTTCCCTTCCCAACCAGGATTGAATCTTAATGCACTGAAGAAGAGGAAGAGAAACAGAGGAGCTGTTTCCGCACTGAAATGGGCCAACCCCTCAGATCCCACAAGAGCCCCCAGCTGGCCTCTCCCGTCCAGCCTCAATACCACTTGACCTGACCCGGCCTGGGCTCCCGGACACCAGCCAAGCCCTTCCTGGCATGTCCTCTGCTGGGGCAGCTCAGTTCCAGCCCAGGATCAGTGCCAGCCTGGGATGGACTGTGCCCTGGTGACGTAACAAAGGAAAGACAATGTGGCATTTTTCCCTTCAAGGCAAATTTCTTGTTTTTTTTTGCTTTTTTGAGAGGGAGTTTAGCTCTTCCACCCAGGCTTGAGTGAAGTGGTGCGATCTCAGCTCACTGCAACCTCCACCCCCGAGTTCAGGGGATTCTCCTGCCTCAGCCTCCCTAGTAGCTGATATTACAGACGCCTGCCACCACACGCAGCTAATTTTTGTATTTTTAGCAGACAGGGGGCTTCTCTATGTCGGCCAGGCTGGTCTTGCGCTCCTGACCTCAGGTGATCCGCCCACTTCGGCCTCCCAAGTGTTGGGATTACAGGCGTGAGCCACCACGCCCGGCCCGAACTACTTTGATTTAAGGTCTTCTTTATTCAGAGCTAGTTTTTCTTGTGTTAGTGTACATGTGTGTTACAATGTCCTTTCTTTTACGAAATTATGATCATAGTAAATATTCTTTTTTGTTAAATCATTACTTGACAGAATTAAAATTTGGGGCTGAGCACAGTGGCTCATGCTTGTAGTCCCAGCACTTTGGGAGGCCAAGGCAGGCGGATCACCTGAGGTCAGGATTTTGAGACCACCCTGCCCAACACGGCGAAACCCTGTCTCTACTAAAAAAACAAAATTAGTTGGGTGTGGTGGCCAGTGCCTATAATCCCAGCTACTTGGGAGGCTGAGGCAGGAGAACTGCTGGAACCTGGGAGGCAGAGGCTGCAGTGAGCCGAGATCGCACCAAACTCCAGCCTGGGCAACAAAGTGAGACTCCATCTAAAACATAAGAAAATAAACAAAAAATAAATGAATTAATTAAAATTTGGCAGCTCTGAGTCTGTTCCCAAAATGTAAGGCATGATAGCCAGGTGATGTGCACGTGGGCATGCAGCCTGCTCTTCTCTCTGCTTTTGAATGTTTGAAACTATTCACTTAACGTGTGTTTTTAAAATAATTTACTTTTAATTTTTGTGGGTACATAGCAGGTATATATATTTATGGGGTTGTTTTTTTAGAAAGTCTAGATAAGGCCGGGCACGGTGGCTCACGCCTGTAATCCTAGCACTTTGGGAGGCCGAGGTGGGTGGATCACCTGAGGTCAGGAGTTCAAGACCAGCCTGGCCATCAGTGAAATCCAGACATTTTAGGATAGAGAGGTCAATCTGTGTAGAATGCAAAGCTTCTAAGTCATTCCTCTGCTTAAAGCCTGTAAGTAGCTCCCCACATGTCTCTCAGGGGACAGGCTGAGCTAGATACCTCCTCCTCCAGGAAGTCCTCCCTGACTTCAACATGCTGGTTAGGTTAGAAGCAAACCATAATTGGAGACCTTAGGAGCCCACTTACATTGGGCAAGGTATTATATTATTTCATTACAATGTATACGGTCCTGTGACCCACCCCAGAGTCACGGATGGAGGACTCTGGTGCAGATACTGGCAAATCCTTTGATGATGAGTGAGTATAGGGATGCAAGGGTTGGTGGGGGGCTGGGCCCTCCTTGGGTTCCCCAGCAAGGAAGGATGGATGGGAGCCCAACCCTGGCTGCTACCTCCTGCTCATGGCTCAGCCTCCCTCTCAGGCACCAGCCAGTCCCAGGGCTCTTAGTTTGGCTCTTCCCTGGGCTCCTTAGTCCAGGTCCGAGCCGCCCCTCTGGCCCTGTGCCATCCCTGGTGCTCCCTGCTCTTGCTCCCAGCTGTCCTTTCTAGAGTACGGCAGCCCTTCTCCTGCCCAGAAGCTTTCCTTGGCTCCCACGGTCTGAGCATAAACCTAGGTTCCTCTACCTGGTTCCAAAGCCTCCATGACTCCTTCTGCGCCTGCTTCCCGTGCTCTTGCCCAGATCGGAGATTGGCCCTGGCTGCTTGCCACAGGGTGTGTTCCTTCCACTGTGCTGCCTCGGCCCCTCCTCTTGGCATGCCCACTCCCGCCCTGCCCAGGCGATCGGCCTGTGTTTCCCCTCCCTAACCCTGCACTGACCACACCTCCCAGGCTGGCTTCTGTCTTGACTATTTCCTCCTCGCCTCTCTGAGCAGCAGGGTCAAGGTGAGAAATGCCTGCTCTGTCTATAGCCGCCCCAGAAGCACAGTACCTTCCACGGCGCAGACACAGACTCTTAGGTACACTTGTCCCTCTGTATCCACGGGGGACTGCTTCTGGGACCCCCATGGATTCTCAAGTCCCTTACATAAAATGGTTTAGTACAGTTCACAACAGAGATGTGTTCTGAGAAATGCATCGCTAGGCAATTTCATCCTTTGCAAACATCACAGGTGCACTTAGCACAAACCTAGATGGTCTAGTCTACTACACACCTGGGCTGTATGGGATAGCCTACAGCTCCTAGGCTACATATCCATACAGCATGTTACTGTGCCAAATACTGGAAGCAGCTGTGACACAATGGTAAATGTTTGTGTATCTAAACATAGAAAATGTCCAGTATGGCCAGGCGCAGTGGCTCACACCTGTAATCCCAGCACTTTGGGAGGCCGAGGCGGGTGGATCACGAGGTCAAGAGATCGAGACCATCCTGGCCAACATGGTGAAACCCCGTCTCTACTAAATATACAAAAATTAGCTAGGCATGGTGGCGCGCGCCTGCAGTCCCAGCTACTCGGGAGGCGGAGGTTGCAGTGAGCCGAGAGCGTGCCACTGCACTCCAGCCTGGCTCCTGGCAACAGAGTAAGACTCTGCCTCAAAAAAAAAAAAAAAAAAAAAAACTTCTGAGACCACTGTCTTATATGTGGTCCATCACTGACGGAAACGTTGCTACATGGCATATGACTGTATTTGCGTGTAACCTACACACATTCTCCTACTTATTTTTTTTTGACATGGAGTTTCAGTCTAGTTGCACAGGCTAGAGTGCAATGGCATGACCTTGGCTCACTGTAACCTCTGCCTCTTGGGTTCAAATGATTCTCCCACTTCAGCCTCCTGAGTAGATGGGATTACAGGTGCACACCACCATGCCCAGCTAATTTTGTATTTTTAGTAGAGATGGGGTTTCTCCATGTTGGTCAGGCTGATCTTGAACTCCTAATTTCACGTGTCCACCCACCTCTGCCTCCCAAAGTGTTGGGATTACGGGCATGAGCCACAGCAGGAGGCCTTTTTTTTTTTTTTCTCTTCAGTGATACAGGGTCTCACTAAGTTGCCCAGGCTGGAGTGCAGTGGCATAATCATGGCTCACTGCAGCCTCAAAATCCTGGGCTTAAGTGATCCTCCCACCTCCCAGGTAGCTGGGACCACAGGTGTGTGCCACCATGCCCGGCTAATTTTTTTTTTCCATAGAGATGGGGTGGTGGTCTCATCATTTTGCTTAGGTAGGTCTTCAACTCCCTGCCTCGACCGATCCTGTCACCTTGGCCTCCGAAAGTGCTGGAATTATAGACGTGAGCTACTGTACTCGACCACCTCCTATATACTTTAGACTACTTATACCACCATACAATGTAATGTCATGTAAATAGTTGTTCTGTGTGTGTTTGTCTTTTTTTGAGACGGTTGTTTCTGTCTTGTTGCCCAGGCTGGAGTGCAAATGGCGCCATCTCGAATCACTGAAACCTCTGCCTCCTCGGTT